ACTCAATCTCTGTCTCTGGCGCTCCGGAAGTGTGGCCGCAGCAATCAACGCGCCAAGTTGGAAGTCCTTCGTGCCGCTCAGCTGCACAGCCCCTCAGACGGGGGATGCACCGCATCATGGCTGCACTGGCGGCCATTTTGGGAGCTTAACCATAAATGTTGCATTTCGCTTTTAAGCCATGTATGTGTGCGTGTGTGAGCGGCATTTAATGGAGGACGGGTTAGGGGTTCGAGGGTTTTAGGATGAGGCTTACCAGCAATTTGGTTTGGCTTTTCGAGAGTCAAGGGTGCAGCAGAAAGGGCGTGGGATCCAGGGCAGTTGGCTGGTAACCAGGCAACATCTGGCCACCTCTTTACACGTGCTTCGACGGCGCGTTGCCGCGTCCTAGAGCCAACAACCGCTCATCTCCGGCTAATGCTCTATGCATTTCACTCCCGCAATTCAGGAAGAATCCCCCTGCCATTATGGCCCCATTGAATACCTTGCACCCACATCCCTATGGCCAGGGGAGATGTGGTCTATTTGAATCTTCTACTTGCTGGCGGGCCCAGTTGGGTATGGTCCTTACAGGACCTTTCCTGGAGCAGAATGGAAATCAAATTGGAAAGTGATCCTAGCCTGGGATTATGGTCTTAAAAGTAAAAGTTAAATCTGGTTGTGTATTTAGTTCTTTAATTATTTTTGGTGTTAATATATTACTTGTGTATTCAGTTTTTCCTTACTTAATATTGAATTAAAATACATTTTTATAAATCTTTAATAATTTAAAGTTAATTAAGTAATTAATTTAAGATTTTAAAAATATCTTAGATGTTTTATAAGCATGAAAATATCTCTCTGGTTTAATTTTTAATTTAAAACTAAAGCTAGGCTTGTATCAAAGATTCCGTTAGGGCATCTCCCGGCTTACATCTTTTAACCTTTGGACATTTCCCTAATTGGCGGCCATTGCACACACACGCACACCCACACTGAAGCCGTAATGCAACCGCACACATATACATATAGCCATTCACTGGCTTGTTTCGCCTTTCTTGCCACTTTTTTTCTCTCATTTTTTTCGACCATTCAATGAGCTTTTAAGGACGCTAATTAAAAATGTGGCAACTGCAAGCGATGCAGACACACCGCACAACCACTCCGCACATTTTGCAACCGTTACAGCCCCGGTTTTCCCGCTTTTCTTGATGCCATTAAGGCCTGGGCCCGTACGCATCCCATCGCACATAATGCGGCGGGCTGTCGCCGCCTCGCTTTCTATTGGCGGCTGCTCTCAAGCGTTTTGCGTCTCTGGGAGAGCGTAATTAACGCCTTTACTCTTGGCATTGGCTACCCTAGAAAAAAGCGTTGGAGAAGCATTTACCCAGCGTTTCCAAGCCCGGAACCTCTGTGGTTATTGCGGCTTTGTTTGTGTAGAAAGCGTTTTTAGATTGCATATTTATTAAAATGCAGCAAAAGTTGTTGCAGATGAAAAGCGCACAAACGCAAGATGACGGAGCAGAGGAAAAGCTAAAATGTAATAACTCTTGTAGGAGCCATCCATATCCCGCCAACGCCAACGCCTCCGCCTCCCCACTTCTTGGCCCGCTTTTCCTTGGCTGTGCATTTCCGTAAGCAGCTTTTGTCCGCAGGTGTTTGCTATTGTGTTGGCCCAACGCTTAGCGCTCGATGGAAAGGTATGCCAGGTGGGTGAGGCACTGAAAGAAAAATCTTATAGAAGGATTAAGTTTATATTTAAGGTGGTCTTCCTTTTCATTGAATTCGAATATATTTTAGAAAGGAGATCACTAAAAAATAAAATTATAATAACATTTAGTCTTAACATTTTTCTTCGCCTGCACTTGGCTGGCTCACACAGCAGCGTTCATTTTGTTGCCAAGGATTTTTCAAGACCAAGCTGCTTATTATCGCGGCAAAAAAAAAAAAAAAAAACCAAAAGAAATAATAAAAATGAACGCCAACTAATAAGCTTATGGCAACCTGGCTAGGTCCTGCGGGTCCTCCACCCATCATCCTTTGGTAGGGCTCTGCTAATTGTGAGCTAATTCTAATTATCAGCAACACATTCGAGAGGTTTTGGTCCGCGTTCTGGGGCTCCTCCACAGCCTGCGCTCCTGTCTGGCAGCTAACGAGTGTTTATTAATGGCGCTAATGGCAAGCGACGCCTTTGATGAGCGTAAAATGCTTAAGCACACAGATCCTGGGCGGAATCCTTGCCCCCCGGATCCCCCGGCTCCTTTTTTCGGGGCCACGCAATTAGCGCACAAATATTTCCGCATACATTTCGCTTATATATACTCGTTTCTTTTCGCTTTTTTGTGCTCTACAGCCTTTCCTTTTTGGCCATAAAAATGCTCAACCGAATTGTAGTAATTACAACAATTTGCATAAGAGCGGGACAGAGAAAGAGAAAGAGAGAGAGCGGAAATCAAAAAGCGCAAAGCAGCCGAGCCGAGCTCACAAAAGTATGCTTTGCATTTGCCAATTTATTCAGGCAGACAAAGCACTATGGTCCAGCCGACCACTTTTTTTGGCCAAAATTAATAACTTCGTCAATTTAAGAGATATCAACTTGAAACTTTACCAATCGTAAAATTATACTTATTGGATGATACTGGATCAAAATTATCCGGATCAGGAAACTATATCCTATAGCTTTCATAGGAACGACTAAGAAATTTTTAAGATAAATTCATAAAACTTCGTTTACTTCAAGATTAAGTCATTTTAACTACATTTTAAAAATTTTATAGGAATCGGATGACGAATTCCTATATTTTACATAGAAAGAATCGGAAAATAGTCCTGTTTTTCCTTATAGTTGCATGAAAAGTGGGTTATAAAAACTTTCTACGATTCAATATTTTTTTTTTTTATTGTATTTTATTAGAATAACTATATTTGATACATTTTGTTGGATATTTATTAGTTTGCATGAGTATAAAGACGTTACTTCAGCGTTTTAATTGGCATTTTCATACAAAATATAGGCATCTTTTATTGCAAATTTAAAGAAATGTGGTCAAATGTGGCATTTCTCACTATATGCAATTAAACAAGAATTAATTACTCTACAACACACCATTGGTTTCAAGGTTGGACTAGGCTGGACTCACTTTTATATACCTTTTTGAAAATTACATTTAAAATAAAATTTTAATATTTTAGACGATAGACTTTAACACCAAATTAAAAAGACATCACAACGACTTAAAACATTTTACTATTTAAAACATGTAGTACATATCCCACTGATTCAAATTCAAGTTAAAAAATTTAACAATTCTTGTTTTTTCCATGAGTTTTCCTAATTTAAGAATTGTATTAATATTCGCATTTTAAGTCTTGCCGTTCGCTCGTGTGCAATCAGCTGTCTTTGGAAGACTCTTGTGCGAGAGTGGCGCCACCTGGGAAGATTTCGAGAATGGTACGTTGATGGTCACTCTATTTCTAATTAATAGAGACCAAAATAACTTTATTTAGTAAACTTTCAAAAAATGGGTTTTGGCCAAATAAAGTGGTCGACTGGACCATAGTGCAAAGGGGGTAAGGAAACCCCGGAAGTTAAAAAAAAAAGAAGTACCAAAAAACGCTAATTATGTAATATGAAAATTCGAGGACAACGTTGAAATATTTGCATATGGTAAGCAGCAGCACAGCACAGGACCAAATATAACCCTTTTTTTTATGATCCTTTTTTAGGTCTCTTTTTCCAGCCATTAACAAATTCAATTAACACTCTGCATGCGGTGGTGAATATTTATATTTTTTTGTTGTACATTTTGTATTACCATTGCCTTGGCAAATCAAAAACCACAACCGAATCAAATCCGCATTTATTTCTGGCCTCAAAGTGCGTACTGTCTGTGCTCGACTGCAGTTGAAATTTCAATTAGGCCTGAAAATTTACAATTGAATAAACTCGAATCGAGAGTGGTTTTTGGAAAGGCAAGCCTGGAAAAACCTGGTAAAATCTTGTACCTTGCTGGTTGTTGTCGATTAGTGCAACAGAACAGAGTGTAACAATCGACCGGAAGACAAAAACACGATTGTGAATATCATAAATTCTAGTTAACGAAGGTGAAAAATTCTCATTCCCAATACAAAACCCATTCCCAGGCCGAAAGGAAGTAAATCAAATCTGCTGGAAATTTCATCGAAGCTTTATTTTGCATCCAAAAAGATAGAGAGACTCGAATATGTAAATTGTTCTTTTATTGAGTTGCATGGGATTCTTTCGACAACAACGGAAGCAAATTGTGGAATAGGAAAAACATAGCACATATGTATTTATATGGGGGTCTGTGAATGAAGAAGAGTAACTTTTTCTTTACCTTCCTTGAGGCAAATAATGGTTTCAGCCTGAATAGATATTTATGGCCATTTTCCTAATCCTCATGATTTTGTATTTTCAGAGTATTTAACATAAAATAGTGTATATTGTTTTCCTCAATTTTGTGAACTTTATTTTTATTTTGTTCTCTTTTTCTTATTTGAAGTTTTGAGACGTTTGATTTCCACTGATCCACTGGAAAACAAACTAGTAACCTCATCAGTATAAACATTTTTAAGGAATTTTAAATGGTTAAAAAGAATTTAAATAGATTTTTTTTTTTTTCATATATTATTCTACCTTATTATTCCATAAAATATTTATTATACTTACCCGCAGCAGCATATTTAAGCTCTCCTCGTCAACTCTCGCAATCGATTTCATTTCCAGGTTAATTCTCACCTTCATGACGTAATACCCGTATAAATTCACACAACGAAATGCCAAAGTTATTAAACCGAAAAAAAAAAAAAAAACAGTAATAATAATAACGGGAAGCAGAAAAGAAAAAAAAGCAAACACTTTGCCCGAGTCGCCGTTAATTTTGCATGCCCCAAAAAGTGTGCACTGCAACGGAAACGGGAGCGCGAAATTCCAATATGCTGCTTTCACCACAACAAAAATGCACACACACATATGTGCAATAGCCGAGAGGAAAAAACCCCAATTTCAATTTGTTAACCATTTTTTTTATTCCCAATCAAATTTATTACATCGGCCTACAACAAAAGAATTGAGTAAAGAAGAGCCACCCGAAAAAAACAAACACGCAATCGGCGCTTATTTTCTTAAAAATATCCATATCCATGTGTAGTCGCCCCTTGTTGTTTTCATCCTCCTGCTCCGGGCGTGTGTATTTGTTGTGCCAGAGTATATGTGTGTATGCGTGTTTGCAGGACAATTAAAACCAGGCAAACACAACATCGACGAGGGAGTGGGTTGGGGATGTGGCGTTTGGAAGGCATGGACGAACGAACTAGCGGCTGCCCGTGGCCCTAGTAAATGGTAATCAACGCAAATCCTCCGTAGAGCACCGCACACGGATAGGCAATCAGCAGCTGTTGATGGTCCATGGAGAAGGCGGTGGCGAACAGTTTCGAGGCCGATATGGCGCACCAGAATATGCAGATGCCGGTCACAATTAGGCCGAGTGTGCCCCTGCAAGAGTGAAACGAGATACGAAGAGAACTTAGTCCCGGATAGATATAGACAGCGGGTGAAATCAATAAGCAATGCATATGCATGAAGCAACCGGCTACTGTCAGAATACACAGAGAGAAAATAAAACTTAACATATGCAAGGGAGAGGTTCTAAGCTTTACTTGAAATCAAGTCTGTAATCTAAACATATTTAAAAATGCCTTCAAAATAACTAATTTCTGTATTCATAAACAGTAAATATCAACGATTAACTCTTTTAAATTGCCCATTCGTTTGATCTTTATAAATAAATCTAATTAAATCAATATTTGCCTACAGTTGTCAACCTTTTCCCTCTCTGTATTTGAGTTATTTCATGAAAAAGTACAAAGGATGGGATATGACTGCACGTGTGTGCGAATGAATTGGCAGAACAAACAAAGACAGCAGGCGATGTGCCGGGCAAAAAGGCTGGGCAAAGTCTAACAGCAAAGCGAACACAGAGCACCCACAATACATAGAAGAAAACCCAGCGGGAAATATAACAATAATCAAAGTATAGAATTTTACCAATATATCTTCGAACACCAATGGAGTTTATCATAAAACACAAGCTAGATAAATCACAATGGAATTCCAAAAACACAAAGAAGAGTCCTAGAACTAATTAATTTAAGGCTGGCAAAACTTTCAACTATTAAATTTAGTGGAAATATAGTGATATTTTACTGCAAACTTTTTAAGTTACTTAATATTTCATTCAAACTAACAGACTTAAGGATAACTAACTCTTAGTTGTGTTTTGTTTTAAAAATAAATTCCTTGCTCTACTTCTTTTTTCAGAGGACTTTAGGCAGACTCTCGGGAGTCTCAAACTGCCTTTAATTCACTGATTTAAAAACTAAACTTCGTCAATTGACATTATTTTACTAATACCCCTTGACAAACTGTTGAAAAATGTATACAACCAAATTCAGCTTTAAAGACCTTTAACTCCTAACCCATAAAATCTGACCCCGAAATCAATTTACGCAACCAAAACATAAATCCCCATATTCGAAAAGTTTCAATTTCCAGCTACACGCACGCGTTTAATGGATTGCCTTTCTGTGGTCTCGGCGGCTCAGCTGTCACCCCTGACCCGCAATCCACCTCCAATCCTGGTCCACTCATGCTATTTTTTTTTATTACTGCTCCTGCAATCTTCTCTAGAACTTTGTTTGTTGTTAGTCCCTGTTGCTGTTGCCGGTGCCAAGTGATTTTTTGGCCCAGACCGGACTGGACTAGGCTAAAAACCAATCAAAACAATACTATGTAGCCCCGGATAACTCGACTGTCTGTGTAATTTTTGCGCACTTTTGCATCACCAAACAAACTCAATTAAAAAGTCTGTCCTAAAAAAAGAGGAGCAGCCAAGAGGACAGCGGGGAATCGCAAAAATATTTACTGTAAACTTGGACTCGATGTGTGTGTGTGTGTGGGACTATATGAACATCAAAGCCAACATGGGCAGAGCCAGTGCCAGAGCTAGTGCTGCCCACAAAGTGCAAGCGCTTAAAGCCGGCAAATAAAAAATGCAAGCAAACAGGCAACCAAAATGGCAATTGCACCGGGCAGTTGGACAGTTTGGCCATGATGATGGCGGGTGGGTGGTGGCGGTGGTAAAAATGGCATAGAAAAAGGGTTGTGGATTCCGAATGGGGGGGGGGAGCTGAGGGAGCAGACAAAACGCGCTTGGTGTCGAGTAAACGCAGGCCATGGTTGTTTTTTACACACACACACACAGACGACCACGCACGGTACTCCATACTTTCCCCGCCCATTCACAGCCCAATGCACCACTTAGTTTCCCCTCGCTGCTCTGAAATTATGACGTGCCAAAGGGGGGGTAGAGATGGAGATGGCTGCGGCGCCACCACCACCACCACCAAAAGAAGCGCTAAAAACTCACGCAGTATTTGCGTGTTGCTCCTCCTCGCATGGCCATCATAAAAAAACGTGGCGAGTGGAGCCATCAGGACAAAAAGAGAAAATAAAACAGAACACGAATGAGAACCGAGAGGAGAAAACGGCGGGAAGAAAGCCCGGCCAGCAAGTGCTGGACACATATTTGAAAAGGAAACTACGTGAACGAAACTCAACGGGTGGCAAAACAGGACACGGAACGTTAGACAGATGGACACGGGACCTGGCCTGCCGCCACCCACTCGACCCACTTCCAATCCGTAGTCCTCATCCTCCCATAGTCACCACCCAGCTCTGTTCTCAGCGCGAAAATTAAACGGCACATAGTTGGCGTTATTCTGCTCTGTTTTTTTGCTGCCCATCTTGCCTTGGCTTCAATGGAGTCCGAGCTACGGTGGTCTGTAGTCCGTAGTCCGTAGTCCGTTGTCCATAGTCCAGGGTCCGGTATGCCGTAGTCCTCGTTCCTCTCGCAGTCTGTAGTTTGGCAGTTGTGGCCCTCGAGTGCACTAAAAGCGCAAATTAAGTTGGCTACTCTCCTCTTTTTTTGCATTCACCGCCATGTGTATGCATCGCTGGCCCAAAACTGCAACAAAATTAAAAACCTAAATTGTGCGAAAAGAGGCAAAGGGAAATCAGCCGGAAACTGAGGGAAGAACAGAAAAAAAAAATAGGAGAAATTAAATGTCTGCCCGGTGGGAGTTGGCTAACGAGGAGAACAGCAGTTGGCTTTTGGAACCCAGCACAGATCAAGCCCAATATCCTCTTGCTTTTGTAGAAGAGAAACTTTTGAGTTAATTATTGGTAAAACTATAAATAAATAATCAAGATAATCAAGGGTTTTTCGGGGTATCTCCAAATAATAAACCATAAAAGAGGCTTAGTAAGAACATATAAATTCATAGAAATTCAGCTTTTTTAGCAACATATTTGTCTTAAAAATTGTAAAGAGGCTCTCAGAATATCTTAAAAGTTATTTTTTCGCACAATTCCATCATTTTTTTTACAAATATTTTCATTAATTTACAGCCTGACTGTCTTTAAACCTTCAATCTCCATCAAAGGAGTATGTTACTCCACTTAATATACACATTCCTAGCTCAACACCAACTGCTGGTTCAAATCAAACAATCGAAAAACAACACCCCCAATAACAATACCCATAATAATAATAATAATAACAGCCAGAAGTGATCAACTTGAGAACAGACGAACTGAAGCCGGCACCGAGTCGCCATCAATTGAACTAATTTGTGGGGACTGGGGAGCGGATCGAAAACGTGCTGCAGTCGCAGCTGGACGAGCTTAGGCAAAAGTTTGTAATTACGGGCCACAAACAATGAGGAGCAGCGAAGGGACGCCAATGCATTGGCAACTTTTCAATTAAAAACATAAATATCAAGAAACTAGCGAGGCAAAGAGGGAGTACGGGTAGTACGGGGGCATGCAGTGAATGGGAGAATGGAATGAAAAGCCAGCGACTTGTGTCAACAATTACTTACTGAATGGTGATTAAAATGTTGATGCCCGACAGCACCACCATGGGCAGCAGACAATAGCCGAGCACGGAGGCCACAGCCCCAAAGGTCACCTGCGCCCGGATGACCATCAGGGACAGCAGGCAATAGAAGAAGATGCAGCCCATTACGCCGATGCCGTAAATGTAGGAGAACGTCACCTTGCCGCTCTAAAAAGTGGGAGAGGTAAGAAAAAAAAAATATATAAAAATATTATTAATAAATATAAACCCAATTAGATTTAATTTGCAAACAAACAAATCAATTTCCAAGCTCTAAAATCTATTTATTTATAATTGGAGTATAACATACCAGCAGCAGGAAGCCACCAAGTGTGAGACAAAACACCAGTGGGCCCGCCATGTCGGTGTCCTGCAGTATTTGCTGGTCGGTGGCCCTCAAAGGATTCAGCACGGCCAGTGTCTGAAAAGAAAAAGAGGAAAAGCGAGGTCAGTAATGCGATTAAAATGGAAACAAGTGAAGGATTACACAGCGAGGGGCGGCGAGACTGGGACGAGGTCCATCATCACTCATGGAGCCTGCGGCTGGACACGGGATTCCGATCACAGGACTCCGGGACACAACACAACACAACACAATTCATTTGTTCGCACAGCGGTCATAAAACGTAGCCCGGCACCCGCTTTCGCCAAACATTTGTTCTTGCCGAGTTTTTCGGATTCGGTTCCCCTCCCAAACTTCCTTGCAGAGAAATTTGAAAAATGGAAATTGATGATAAATGATATTGCTGACCAGCCAGCCATCTAGCTAGCTAGCCGGTCCTGGAAACTCGGCCAGCAAAAGCTGTCAACGCATTTGACGCATACGAATGTGGGCCAGGACAAGAGGCCATGAAATTTGATATTACAACACTGGCAAAGGACCCACAAAAATGGTTGTCAATGGAATTCCGAGTGTCCCACTGTGCGCGGTTTTTACGACTTTAATTGAGATTGAACAGGGTTTGATTAGTGAAGGAAAAGGGTAGAAATATATTAATATAAAAATGAAATATATACTTTTATTCTGTGGATACCAGCTTTAACCCAAAAATTTCAAGTTATTTCAAGTTATTAAGTTGTTGAAATGGTTAAATGATATATTATATTAAAGATATAATAAAAGATAACATCTTTCTAAGGTAAGTTATGAGAAATAAAATATTATATTAATAAAATAATAAGGTTTTCCTAAGATTTTGAAATTTTTGTACACCCTTAAAAAGCTTCAAGACACTGAATATAATTTTCCTTGCAAAAACGACCACTAGTTTTTTGTCATATACAAAAGTGAGTATATCCCTGAACACAAAATTCATAATTTTGTTGACTTTTGCCACCGATCTTTCATTACATTAACAAACAGAGAGTCAAAATACACACAAATCTAACCATAATTCCTCCCCCCAGCCATGTAGCTGATGTACAATTTAATTAGCATTTCATTTCATTTCAGTTTTATGATGGCGCACGGACTCTCATTAACATTTTCATTTTTCAATTAACACAAACGTAATAAATTCCGTGCCGGAGCGAGAGAAATGAGAGAATCAGGCGCACGCAAATTTTTTACAAAATGGACAAAAATGCAGAAAGTTACACACAGCAAACTGGGCAGGAAAGGAGCAGGAAAAAAAGCAAAATATATATATATATATGGAGAAAAAAAAGTAAGCGAGAAAAACTTTAATTAAAAACACAAAAGTTGCTTTATTTATTTAAAAACAACTACGTCCAGAGGGCCCAGGGCGAAAGTGCAATGAAAAAATATGTCTTCATTAACGACACAAACCGGCAAGTGCAGCGACAACAAAGCGTACAATAAAAAAATGCAAAAAAAAAGTAGAAAACCAAACAAAAAACAATAGAATTATTGCGGCAGGACGAGAAGCTCGCAATAAATACAAAAGCGAAATGCAAAAACATTTAAATTTCAATTAAAAGGGAGTTGGGAAGGGAGCGCGTGGCGGCAGCGGAAAATCGGGCGGCCTAAAGTGGCCGCCCGCTGCGTTGCACAAATTAGAAAAAGGCAATGGTTCCGGGGGCGGAAAATGCGTAAAAGGCAAAGCAGGAATTACGCGGTTGAGGTGGAGTTGGAGTAATTGTTCGGCCAAACAAAGTGGGCAACTCAAAACCGGAGGAGCCTCCTCCTTTGTGGCTGCGGCTGTGGCGGTGTCGGTGGCTTCCGACTAGAATCAGCAGCATAAAATATGCAATTTGGCTCGGACTACGGCTACGGCTACGGTTCCTTCTTAAGATGTCTAGTTAAAAATGCGTTCAAGTGCAGCAGTGAAGGTTGCCTTTCATCTCTGCATCCCACCTCGAGGCAACTCCAAAAGTGGAGAACAACGCCAATTATGGAGAGCTTTCTTTGTCTTTCCGTTTTCTCTTACCTTTTGGAAAATGTGATTCGGATTGATGCCCAGTTCTGGAAAAGAAAAAAAAAAATAAAGTAAATTAAGCTGAATTGCTATGTGCTTAATATCACAAGTAAGTATAACTTCAAAGAATTTAAAGGTTTTATATGATATTGAGTACGATATTTACATTATATCCTTGCCGGGTATTACAATCTTAGTTAAAAGCTTGCAAAGCAGTTAAAAAACCAGCACAGAAAATTTATTTGATTCAAAATTGTGTGATTTTTTGGCTTAGTTGTTAAGGATTTTGACTCGATGCCAGATCCTATGGCAAACTGCAAGGTATACAAATTTCGGCTTTCCGAAGTACGTTCCTTTCTTGTTGTCAATATATCCTATTGGAATTCTTACAATATACATGCCTACTTCACTTCTAAAACCTAAAAGAAGCTTATGATTTCAATCATTTGCCTTGAATTTAGAAGATAAATCTAATATAATCTTAAGTTTATTTTCAAAATTTTAAGGTTAAATTAACTATTTTATTTAAAATTATTTCCCCGCTTAAAAATGAATTAAGGAGTCGCAAAAATGGTTCTATCTTTACGTTATTATGTTAAAATAAAATTAATCTTTTAGTTGAACATTATTTTACGTCATTTCTTGGTTTCTTGAATTAATTGTTGTGAAAATGTAACAAAATATTTTTATTTTTATAAAAATACGTATAAGTTTGTACGATTTAACGTTCTCTTCATAAATATAGCATTTTTAGGGAAATGACAACAAGCTTTCAATGTTTTTATCTTGAAGTGAAAATTAAGATACAAAATTCTAAGGTAAAAAGGTATACATTTTTTCAAAATTATCAAGTATCCAGACTTCTTCGATAATCTGGATATAAGTTTACCGTTTCTCAGATTATTACACGTTTATCGTTACGTTTACGTTAAATAAGCCCTTGTCTCGTTCTAATTTCCAATCTCTTGAAGATATTTAACAAATTTGTGATAAACCTACAAACATTTAACAATTCTCAAGCCCTCAATCCAAGTCTACATATACATTAATCCCTGATAAGAGTCCCCTCTTACCCTCCAAGAGCGGTGGCTCATCATCGAACTCGTTGCCGGCTCCACCGGCGCCGCCTTGTTTTCCGCTTTTGTCCTGGCCATAACTCGTGTCCGTGTACGCCGTGGGATCATAGAATCCTCCTAAGCCCTGCGCCGGAGGCTGGGCATAGGTCGCATCATAGTTGGGCGGCACCGAGGGCTGTGTGTTGTCGAAGCTCTGGAAGTTCCTGCAACCAAATGGAACACTTCATAGAAGGCGGAAACGGAAGGCTTTGGATTGTACTCACAGTTCCTGGCCGAATTCGGGCATATCGAAGTTGTAACTGGCATCTGCCGAGGGCCCGGAGGCGTAGAAATCATTGGGTCCACCAAATTGAGACATCTCTACTGTAATTTAGGCACAATTCACATGGAATATTTACCAAATTTAACAAAACAAATGCTACACGTCAACGATGTGACCGTTGTTTACACCCCAAGATAAACCATCGCGCTCTGGTTAAAAAATACTGAAATAATTCAAAACTTTGCAGTATGGTCTCATTAAATAGAAGAGTATATAATCTGGCAACGCTGTTTTTAGTTCGAAAAAGTCGTTTCGAAAAAAAATAAATATATTATTGATTCCATTTATGTTCAAAATTAAAAACTATAAAACACCTAAAAATTTATATTTAGAAATTAAAATATTATTTGTGATTAGGTATCGACAAAACACAAGTTTAAAATAATATCTATTCACATCGGGGAAGTTCCTAAAGTAGCGCTTAAAAATTAGAATATAAACTTAGATAAAAAGCTGATTTTGAATGATAATTAATAATTAATAATATATGTTTATACAATATATATGTAATTGTAATAAAACATAAGAGAACGCACAAAAACTAATAAGTTTATGTTTAATGTCTCTGTTCAACTTGAATTCAATTCAGGGCAATTCATTATTGCTATTTGTCTTCGACACCCATTGATATATTTATAATAAATTAATAAACACAGATTACCATTGTTTGTCATGTCGGAGTTGGCCCGACACGTTTCTTAGAACCACTTAATTTGTTTTTTATATATTTCCAAGAAATACAAAATAAAAACAATAATTAAAAAAGCTCGCAAGAATGTTGATCTCAATTGGCATTGAATGAAATGTACACATATTATTTTAGAGCTTGCATTGCGGATTTCGTTATCAGCTGCATATAAATATAACAGATTCCTGTCTCAGCCAACCAGTATCTGGCAGACTTTTCTGTTGAACCCAAGATGTCTCCGAAATTCGCACTAGGACTTCTACTTCTTTGCCTCGTCCTTCTGGGACTCAGCGACGCCCAAAGACTGCAACAGTGGCAGCAACAGCAACAGCGGCAGCAACAGCAACAGCGGCAGCAACAGCAACCGCGGCCGGTGGCAAAACAGGGGGGGGTAAGTATTGTAAAATCTAATAATTTTTTTGGTCATTAATTTTAATGTGTATTCATATTTTTAGAAATACCGCAATTTGGGAGGGGATGGTAGCTTTGGAACAGACGCCAATCCCCCACCTTTGGATGCACCAGGCGATTGCAACCAGAACAATCTGGCCGGTAACAACCGCGACAGGTTCAAGGGCCGCCATTAAAAAGGGACTAAGAGAAACGGCGATTGGACAAGGAACTCAACAAACTCAAAGAAAAGTGTAAAATACTTGTTTAAAAATGCCTATCACTTTTTCAATAAAAATATGTTCACTTTTCAACAAATTGTATTTTGCGTTGATGGTATAACAGAATAACAATATTATATTTAATTAGTGTACATACTTTTAAACTTTACACAGTATTTTGAAAAAAAGAAACTTACAAATCTTATTTTGTGGCCTTGAATACCTAGACAGGCGAAGCCAAAGTCACTATAATAAGTTTGTTAGTAAACAAAATCCAATTTTTTGATAACATTTATAGCTTTAATTAAAAATATTTGATATGATATTGTATACATATAAGAATCTCTCACTCTGAACTATGGGTGAATTCGAATCAAAAGTTTTTAAAATTAGAAAAATTTACCTCAGGTCAAGCCAAATTAACACTTGCAGACTTAGTATAATCCAAATAAATAGAGTAAAAAACAATATAAAAAACCCGCATATGTCTAATAATTTCCTAGAAACAATTAAGATTAATAAGTGCCCCCAGAAACACAATGAAGATTAGAGGGAAGCCCAGATGATGTGCTCACAATGGCATTAAAATAAAAATATGCCCCTATTTGATCCCTAAGAATTTAATAAAAAATAAAAAAAAAATACAAATAAATTCAGGGAAACCAAAAAGAAAGATAAATAAATATATAAGGGCCTGGAAAATGTTATTAATAACAATTAAAAAAGGCCAGATTTCCATCAACATTAAAAACACGCCCCTCCTCTTTTTGGTAACATTCATAATACATTTTTATTTCCATAGCTCCATTGTAGCAACACACACAAGTTACTGAAATAAGTGGCTATCGTCTTCTGCTTCTGGGGCTACGTTGTTATTGCGTTCTTTAAGGGTCTATAATATGTAGGAATATATATATAATATTGTAATTCGTAAAGTTTCAAACTCTCTTAGATTCGTTTAGTTGGTTTTTCAGTTAGTTTCACGCAATGGGGGAGGGGAGGGAACGAACACAATCGATAACTTTATGAAAATTTACTAACAATAAATAGCTGAACTATAATTACATATATATCAACATAGAATAGGTATACATATGTCTCGTATATGTACGTTGTTGATGTATTTATTATGTTTATGGCTGGCTCAATCCGTGTCGTGTGTTGTGTCGTGTCCTATGATTCATTTGCGCTACCGACTAATTATTGTTCGTCTTTCCTAACTGGTCGCCTGTCGTCGTGTTTCTGTGTTTTCTGTGATTCGATTCTGACCTGGACTAGACCTGAAGCTGGCCAAAAAACGGTTAAACTTATAAGTAAACTTGGATTCAAATATCTTATTATGCATTATGTAAATATGACTAGATTGAAATGGGGAATTCGAATAATAAGTAACCCAGCTGTGGCTTCTTATTTCGTTTTCTGGCTTCCTCCGAATCCCACTGGCACCCCTTAATCCTCCAGATTTCGGAAGGCCTGCTGCAGGTCCTCGTACAGCTGATCGTAGTCCGCCTTGATCTTTTGCTCGCCATCTTTCACGGGGTCCTGGAAAATGGCAAATGTTCAAGGAAAAGCCATCCCGTAAAAAGTCCTGCCTTACCTTGAACTTCATCGACGACAGCTGGTACATGATCCCACCCATCGACTCCCTAATGGTGTTCCATGTGATCTTGTTGTCCGACTGGGCCGTGGACTCGACGGCATGACGAGCGGTCTCGTAGAAGGAGAGGATGTTCCTCAGCATGCCCACCGTCTTGTAGAAGGGACAGACGCGATCGTAAGGCGAGTAGGAGTTCTGTTGCAGGAAGTCGTCCTTTAGCAGCTTGGCCACCTCCAGGGTCACCTTGTCGGTCTCGGCCAGCGAGGCCTTGCCCACCAGTTGCACGATCTCGGACAGATCCTCCTCCTCCTGCAGGATCTCCTTGACCTTGGTACGCAGTGGCACGAATTCGGGGAAGTTCTTGTCGTAATACTCATCCAGAGCTCGCATGTATTTCGAGTAGGAGATGAGCCAGTTGATCGAGGGGAAATGCTTCCTCTGGGCCAGCTTCTTGTCCAAGCCCCAGAACACCTGCACAATACCCAGAGTGGCCGAGGTCACGGGATCCGAGAAGTCACCACCGGGTGGCGATACAGCGCCTACAATCGAGACGGAACCCTCACGTTCGGGATTACCCAAGCACTTGACGCGTCCAGCACGTTCGTAGAAGGTGGCCAGACGGGCGCCCAGGTAAGCTGGATATCCGGAATCGGCCGGCATCTCAGCCAAACGACCCGAAATCTCACGCAGAGCCTCGGCCCATCGAGAAGTGGAGTCAGCCATCATGGCCACATTGTAGCCCATGTCACGGAAGTACTCGGACAGAGTGATACCGGTGTAGATGGAGGCCTCACGGGCAGCCACAGGCATGTTGGAGGTGTTGGCCACCAGGGCAGTGCGCTTCATAATAGATTCGGTCACTCCATCGATTTCGCAGGTCAGTTCGGGGAAGTCGCGCAGCACCTCGGACATCTCATTGCCGCGCTCCCCGCAACCGACGTAGATGATCACATCGGAGTTGGAGTACTTGGAGAGAGCCTGGGAAAGGGAAATAAAAAGTTGAAATTTAAGTAGAGCCATGCTTAAAGATCAATGTATGTATATGTATATCGTCCTCCGTATCCAATAGGATAGGATTAATATACATTTTTTTATTAAGAAATTAAAAATTCAACATTATGCTTACAAATTCAGAGAATTAAAGATTGTAATTGAACTATTGTAAAAGAACTTTGACACCTTTCCTAGAACCACTCAATGTGCTGAATATTCCAAGAAATAATATATATATAGCATAATTAAAAGAGGTCGAACTGAGGAGATAACAGCGGTACCAAGAATATTGATCTCAAGAACTTCGTTATCAGCAGCTTATAAATACCGAGTCCCTGTCTTAACCAGGTAGTATCTCCCAGACGTTACTGTTTAACTCAAGATGTCTTCCAGATTCGGTTTAGCACTTCTTCTTCTTGGCTTTGTCCTTTTGGGACTCAGCGAAGCCCAAAGGCATCAACAGAGGACAGGATTTCAAAGACAAGGGGTAAGTCTTCTAAACTTTCTGATTTCTTTTCAGTAATCTAAATATTTACAACTTTGCAGCACTACGTACAAGGTCACAATGTCCCTGGTAGGACCAATGCAAGGCCGGGATCAGGGGTAAGGGTAATAATATTATTTTCTCTTTAGAAACCGAAATATTTTAAATCTTTTTAGGGAACTTTAGCTCGCAGTACTGCAGGAGCCATAAATGCCGGTGGTACACCTGATGTTGGGTCCTCTGATGGAGCTGGAGCTGGTGGTGCTCCCGATAATGGAGCTGGACTCGGTCCTGGACCGGCTGGTGGCCTTGGTCCTGGACCGGCTGGTGGCCTTGGTCCTGGACCGGCTGGTGGCCTTGGTCCTGGACCCGTTGGTGGCCTTGGCCCTGGACCCCTTGGTGGTCTCGATTTCAGTAAGAACCAACTGGCCAGCAACAATCATGATAGATTCAAAAAACGCTCTTAGAAAGTGGTTTTAAATACATGAAAGACAACCAAAAAATGTAAAGTAATTGATATTTGCATGAATAATAATTGCAAAATAATTAAATCTTTTAATAAGACTTTGGATCGATTGAACCCATAGAACCTATAGAAAACTAAGAGATCCTGTACCTTTTATTAATTATATCCCTCTCTAATCTGAAACTCATTTATTCATGCCTTAACTACACTCACCTGCGAGATTACAGTCTTGCCGCAACCAAAGGCACCGGGGATGGCAGTGGTGCCGCCCTGGACGCAGGGGAAGAGCGAGTCGAGGACGCGTTGGCCAGTGAAGAGCGGATGATTGGCTGGCAGCTTCTCGGTGACGGGACGCGGCTGCCTTACGGGCCACACCTGCAGCATGGTGTGCTTGGTGATCTCGCCGTCGAACTCCGTCTCCAGGACGATATCCTCCAGGTTATAGTTGCCCGCCGGAGCAATGTATCTTACGGTGCCCTTGGCTCTCGGCGCCACAATCATGCGCTGCTTCACCAGGGTGTTCTCGTGCACCACGCCGTACAGGTCACCTCCGGTGATGTGAGAGCCCACGCGGACATTCAATGGATTGAATTCCCACATCTCGGAGCGGGACAGAGCCGGAGTGTTCACGCCTTTGGGTATATAGATGGAGCTGGTCATCACACCAATGTCCTTCAGAGGACGCTGGATGCCGTCAAAGATGCTGCCCATAATACCGGGACCGAGCTCCACGGACAGGGGTTTTCCTGTGCGCAGGACAGGATCGCCCACGGTTACGCCAGAGGTCTCCTCGTACACCTGAATGGTGGCCATGTCGCCCTCCAGGCGGATGATCTCGCCCACCAGCTCGTAGTAGCCGACGCGGACCAGCTCGTACATGGCAGATCCCGACATGGCCTCAGCGGTGACCACTGGAAAAGGGGGAGAGCGGCAGAGAAATCCGGATTAGACCGATCTACGGGGTCAGCGAGTGAAGGACGCGGGTGACGTCGCCTACCTGGGCCAGAGACCGCATAGACACGGCCATACTCCGACTCGCGCTCCTCGTCTTTGAATTTCCTCAAGTTGGACATGGTCGCGGTTGCTTCTCTCTTCTTCTTCTGCTTCGGTAACGGTCAAAACGCGCGTTCGCTGCGGACAGAGAGCGATTTTCAATCAGATTTCGATTTACCAATAAACAAAAACACATTTTCCATGCCCCCAAAAGAGAGACAGAGAGAGTTTTCCGAGTGTGCTGAGCAGGAAAATCGTAGATGGCGCTGCTGTGCAGCAGTAGTAGCAGCAGCAGCAGCCCCCAGTGAAAAGCTTCACACCCCCGCAGCCCAGCATCGATTTTCCAATACAATTTTCACGCATGCCACGGATGGCGAGCTGAATTTTCACAATTTCCCGCAGCACAAGCCCGACTTTCACACTTTCACTTTAGTCCGAAGCATAATTTCTGGGTTCTGCTTGCGCTGTGTGGTAATTAATATTTTTATGGCTGCCCTAAAATTAAATATGCTCACATTTGTTTCAGCAGCTCTTATGAAAATTCTCTTGCTTTTTGGTTTCAGTGCGACCAGATTGTGTAAGTGAAAACATGCGGAGAGTTTTCCACCCCGTGGAAAATCCTTCATAAAAAAGCAGTTTTTCCAAGCAGCTATAAATTTTCGTTTTCAGGATATTTATTTAAGGTATATTCATAAATCGTGTCTATTTGCCTCTTTTTGTACGTTTTTATCGCAATCCAATTACTGTGGAAATCAAATTGGCTCAACCTAATCCTTAAGGATTTTTTTAGATGGAAAACTCGGACGTTATTGAAAAACTAACATACATTTAAGAGTACTCCCCATTAAGTATATATTAATTTTAAAAAACGTATCGTTAAGTTAAAAAAGATTATGCTTAATTTAAGAAAAATTTATATTAAATCAAATTATCCTGAAGGATATTTAATCCTTTATAAAAAAAAAAAACAATGTTAACAATTCGAATTCAGGACTTTGAATTATAATTTATGTGCTTTTTTAAGCTTATATTTCTCAAGTAATTTTAACTATAAAGTCCCTTATATAATTTAATATCCTGCCATAATTGCTATAATTTTATTCCAAAGGATCTTCAATTATCGATATCGATAGCCGCTTACCCTCGATAGGCGAAAGAGCGGCAGTTCCAAACAACCATTCCGCTGGTAAATTGGCTTTGGCCGCCAACGGTCACACTGCGGTTATTTTATTCGGCTATAATTTCCTCAAAAACTCTAATAATCCGCAATTAAACCAAGCAGACGAGCTGCATCCGTGTGGAAGTGTTTCGGCGCGGGTGTCATTATGTGAGCGCCTTCCGGTCCACTAGTGTAACGTGCGCGCAGCCCACCGGGGCAACCGAAAAGATAACCTCCAAAGTCCAGACTTCGCAGACATCGATGCACCTGCTTCGGCTTTGCCAGCTCCTTTCCCCCCCTTAATGCAACCAAAGCAGACCCTCTAATTAGTCGCGACTAGTGGATAAATACTGCAGTCCAGCCATGTCGACGTCGTCGGTGGTGCAGCAGTTCGTGAACGGGCTCAAGTCCCGCAACCGGAATGTGCAGAACAAGGCCACCCAGGATCTGCTCTTCTACGTGAAGACGGAGCTGCGCGAGATGTCGCAAGAGGAGCTGGCGCAGTTCTTTGACGAGTTCGATCACCACATCTTCACCATGGTGAATGCGGCGGATATCAACGAGAAGAAGGGCGGCGCCCTTGCCATGAGTGAGTCCTTGGTGGAGTAAGCCGGTAGCCCGAATCTGGATTAAGGAGTTTTTCCCACTTTCAGAGTGCCTCATCAACTGCGAGGGCAGCCTGACAGCCAGGAAGGGCATTTCGCCCTACTTGAACCGCCTGCGGGACCTCCTGCTGATTAACGATGTGTCCGTGATGGAGATAGCCGCCCGCTCCCTAGTCAAACTGGCCAATATGCCCACCTCCAAGGGAGCCGACTCCTTTGACTTTGACATTAAGAAAGCCTTTGAGGTGCTCGGAGGCGAGAGACAAGAGGTGGCTCATGGACAAATCCATTTAATATTCCTCTAATACATCTTTTAATATATTTTTTTTTTTATTTTAGTATCGTCGCCACGCCGCTGTCTTCATTCTTCGCGAGCTGGCCATTGCCTTGCCCACATACTTTTACCAGCACATCCTCACCTTCTTCGAGGTCGTATTCAACGCCATCTTCGATCCGAAACCTGCCATTCGCGAGTCCGCAGGAGAGGCCTTGAGGGCGGCCTTGATTGTCACCGCCCAGCGCGAGAGCACCAAGCAGTCGAGTGAACCGCAGTGGTACAAGATCTGCTACGACGAGGCCAATGGAAGCTTCAGTGCGGATTTAGTTGTAGGAAAGGAACAGAAGGGCGTGACCCGCGACGATCGCATCCATGGCGGCCTTATTGTCTTTAATGAGCTTTTTCGCAGCGCCAATGCCACTTGGGAGCGTCGCTATACAGCCTTAAAGACGCTCTTTCCCAAGACCCAGTACAACAAGTACCTCGAGGCCAGCAGCTCGTTGGGCGTGGGCTCCCAGCTGAACACGTTGGTGCCGCGGCTAAAGGTGCCCTTCATCGAGAGGCTGGGCAGCAGCCAGACGCACATGAGCGAGGGGGAGCAGCACAATGGAGTGGCGAAGTTCGCGAGCGTGAGTCTAACGATCTATAAATCCCACAAACGATAATGTATTTATTTTTAATTATTTTTGTATTTATTTATATTATATTTAGTTTGTATTTATATTTATTTTATAAATAGTAATTTAAATATTTACATTTCCACAGCACAATGTCTTGGAGTCGGCCTACGCTCACGAGATCCTGCAGGAGCACTACACCACCATTTGCGACAATGTCCTGGAACAGCGATCCTCGAAATCGCCGTATGTGCAGCAGGCTCTCCTGCAGATCCTGCCCCGACTGGCTGCCTTCAACCGGGAGGTATTCGTTGAGAAATACCTACCCACATGCATATCCCATCTGATGCAAATCCTGCGCGGCAAGGAGAAGGATCGTGCGGTGGCTTACATAACTATAGGCTACATGGCGGTGGCCGTGCAGAGCGCCATACAGGAACATCTGTCGGGGATCATGAGCAGCGTGAAGCTGGCCCTGCCAGCCAAGGATTTGACCAGTAAAAAGAAAGTGCCCGTGGATCCGGCGGTGTTTGCTTGCATCACGCTCCTGGCGCACGCCGTCAAGTCTGAGATCAGCGAGGATGTCAAGGAGATCTTGGAGCAGATGTTTTACACGGGCCTGTCGCCGGCTCTGACTGTTTGCCTGCGTGAGCTCTCAGAGAATGTGCCGCAACTGAAGTCGGCCATCACGGAGGGATTGATTGGTGTGCTTTCCCAGGTTTTGATGAACAAGCCAGCGGCTATTCCGTACTCCGCCGTGCCTTTGATAGCCATCGATGGCTCTTTGATCATGCAGAATGCCGATGGAGCCACCACAGTTCTGGCCCTCAAGACCTTGGGTACCTTTAACTTTGAGGAGCAGAACATGCTGGACTTTGTGCAGCGGTAGGTCTTGTCGATTAAGCTATATCTTTGGATATTTTAAAATTATTATTTATGTCTCCCTTAGATGTGCCGACTATTTTATTATCCACGAACAGCAGGAGATTCGCCTGGAGGCTGTCCAGACCTGCACGCGACTCCTCAAGCTGGCAGTGCAATCCTCAGAGAGCATGGAGAACTCCAAAACGCTCAGTGACACCGTCTCGCATGTGATCGAGCGCCTGCTGATGGTGGCCATCACGGATATGGACTGCAATGTCCGCATACGCATCCTCCGCTCGCTGGACGAGACCTTTGACGCCAAACTGGCTCAGCCCGAGTCCCTAAACTCGCTATTCATCACGCTGCACGACGAGATCTTTGAGATTCGGGAACTGGCAATGGTCACCATTGGCAGATTGTCCTCCATGAACCCGGCCTATGTGATGCCCAAGCTCAGGACCACTATGATTGAGCTGCTAACGGATCTTAAGTACTCGGGGATGAGCAGGAACAAGGAGCAGAGTGCCAGGATGCTGGACCATCTGGTAATAAGCACGCCCAGGCTGATATCCTCGTACATGAATCCGATCCTCAAGGCTCTGGTGCCCAAGTTGCACGAGCCGGAATCAAATCCCGGCGTTATCCTGAACGTGCTGCGCACTATTGGTGATCTGGCGGAGGTGAATGGCGGCTCCAATGAAATGGAGCTGTGGGCCGACGATCTGCTCTCCATACTCCTCGAGATGCTGGGCGATGCCGGCAGTCCGGATAAGCGTGGCGTGGCCCTGTGGACCTTGGGGCAGCTGATCAGTGCCACGGGCAGGGTGGTGAGCCCATATCACAAGTACCCTGTGCTCATCGACATCCTGATTAACTTTCTGAAAACGGAACAGCGTCGCTCCATTCGAAGGGAGACGATCCGTGTCCTGGGGCTACTGGGAGCCATGGATCCCTACAAGCACAAGATGAACAAGGGTTTGATCGACAGCCAAAAGGATAATGTTCTCATAGCCTATTCCGATGGCAAGGTGGACGAGAGCCAGGACATTTCCACGGCAGAACTCCTCGTGAATATGGGCAACGCCTTGGATGAGTATTACCCGGCGGTGGCCATAGCCGCCTTGATGCGAATCCTGCGGGATCCCACGCTCAGTACCCTGCACACGAGTGTGGTCCAGGCGGTGACCTACATCTTCCAGAGCCTGGGCATCAAGTGTGTTCCCTACCTGGCCCAAGTCCTGCCCAACCTCCTCGACAATGTCCGCACGGCGGATAACAATTTGCGGGAGTTCCTGTTCCAGCAACTGGCCATTCTGGTGGCCTTCGTCAAGCTGCACATCATCAGCTACATGGGGGACATCTTCAAGCTGATCAAGGAGTTCTGGACCATCAATACGCCACTGCAAAACACCCTGATCAATCTGATTGAGCAGATTGCGGTGGCCCTGGGCTGCGAGTTCCGGGACTATTTGGCCGAGCTGATACCACAGATCCTGCGTGTGCTGCAGCACGATAACTCCAAGGACCGAATGGTCACCCGGCGACTGCTCCAGGCTCTGCAGAAGTTCGGCAGCACCTTGGGCTACTACCTGCCGCTGATTGTGCCGCCCATTGTGAAGCTTTTCGACTCGCATTACGTGCCCCAGCAGGTGTCCCTGGTGGCTTTGGAGACGATCAACAATCTGGCCTGCCAGCTGGACTTTACAGACTTCTCCTCGCGCATTATTCATCCGCTAGTCCGAGTGCTGGACGCGGAGCCGGAGCTAAGGGACCAGGCCATGCTTACGCTCCGCTCGCTAGTCAAGCAGCTGGGCAAGAAGTATCTTGTGTTTGTGCCCATGGTGCAACGCACCCTGGCCAAGCATCGCATTGCCGATGCGGAGTATGAGAAGCTGCTGAGTCGCATCCAGTCTAATAGCACCCTAGCGGATGCCTCCGGGGCGGGAGAGTTCGGCCTGCGCCCGGCCAAGATCAAGAACTATGAGCCCTTTGTGACGGACAGGAATAGCAATATCAATAATCTGCAGGTGAGGACCAATGAGCTGCGCACCTCCTGGCAG